GATAGATAGATAGATAGATAGATAGATAGATAGATAGATAGATAGATAGATAGATAGATAGATAGATAGATAGATAGATAGATAGCATATATACATACATACATAAAAAAGCAAATACATTTTTAAAGCAGCATTTCCCTAAAATAGCACATATACTTTTGTTAGGAATAATCATTTTTCAATCGGAGCAGCTGCTTCCCGCATCTTCATCTTATTCTATCGATACGTTACAATCTTTGGCGACGCTGCATTAGTAACCATTCTAAGAAGCGTCCCCAAATTAGCCGCTACGGAAAAACTCCGGGAAGCAACAGCAACCACTTTGCGCGCGCGCAGAGTCCAGATTCGGCGTTTCGCCGCCCCTGCTGGCTTCCGTTCCGCTTTTTTTCCTGGAAAGGCGATGCGAGCGAAACTGCCAGCGAGGGGTATCGACTGCAGCTGCCTGTTCTCGGGGTTGGGAAGCGGACGCGGAGAACGAAAGAGGTTTGGGTCAGCGGCAACTGCCGGCCAAGGATCGCAAGCTTAGAGAAGGGAAGAAGCGGTGAGTGTCTCCCCGGCTCCTGTTGCACCGGCGTTGTGTTTTTCGGTGAGAGGAAGGAGCGGGCGTGGTGAAAACAAGAAACTACGCGGGTTCAGGGAACTGTGTTGCTTCCCTGGAGGCAAAGCCCAGTCAGAGCACGCACCTAAACATTCAGATGTGATCTTCTTTATTAGATTTTTTTTTTTTTTTTTTTTGGTATTAGCAAGAGTGTAGTGGAAAAGGAGTACGGATTTCAGTTGTCTTCGGAGTGGGAGAGGAGTCAGCAAAAGCGCAGAGCTCCCGGTGGTATTGGCGTCAGAGTTGAACGGGGAAAGGCGTTTCGCCTTCTGCACACAAGTATCCAGACAGGAATTTAATTTTTCTCACTTTGTCCTCGAGGGTGGACTTTTGCAGCAAGGTTGTTGGTAGGTTGATTATTTTAAAAATCTGGTCGTCATCGCTGTGCTTCGGAGGACCAAGGTAGATGAATAGAATAGGAATGGGAATGGAATAGAAATAGAAATGAATAGGAATAGAAATAAATAGAATAGAATTTTTTGTTGGCCAAGTGTGATTGGACACACAAAGAATTTGTCTTTGCTCTCAGTGTACATAAAGAAAAATAAATTAGAATACTTTCATCAAGAATCATAAGCTATAATACTTAGTGATAGTCATAGGTTACTCATAAGCAATCAAAGTATACTAGGAAACAAACAAAAACAATATAAAATTTAAAGATATCGCAGGTGTGAGGTTCTAGCTCCATTTTGGAGCCCTGGTGGGGTCCTCTATTCCCTACCCAGGCTGTCCATCTGGATTGGGTCTTGCTATTTGCTTTGAAAAGTCCATTGATGTAGTTGCTCTTTGTGTTAATAGCATCTCTTCCAGGCCGACCCTAAGATTCTGCCACATTTCCAGTCATATGCTGCTATTTTCATTTCCTTCCAGTTGTACAATGCAAGAATGAAGCAAGCAATTCACATACATGATGAACAGGCTGACTGGAACATTTTTCTTTACTGCCAAAAAAGGAAACATGAAAATGTCTGTGGAGATGGTGAAATCAACTCCTAAAGTAGAAGAAATGGAAAATGTTCTTTCTAAAACTTGTTTTGCTTTATCATTAATAAGGCTAGAAAACACACTGTAATTCTCCTAAACTTCCACATGGTGGCCTTCTGAATATGATATGAAGGATGTGGGTCAGTTACACATGAAAAATAATTAACTATGGAAACCTTCTGGATTCCTATGAATGCAGTAAGAATTTGCACAATAAACTTTTGATTGGAAGCACCATAAATATAGGCTGGATTCCTACATTTCATTAAGCCAAAATGCTTAGTTTGAGCTTAGCGTGCTTTCTGAACCCACAAAATTGCCCCTTATTCAATACAGGTAGTTCTTGACTTATGACCACAATTAGGACTAGAATGTCTTCACTAAATGATGTCATGAAGCGAGACACATTCTGTTTTGCAATCTTTTATGCATAGTTGTTAAGCGATACATATAGTTATATGAAGGAGGTGGATCATGGAAAATAATGAAATATTGAAACCGTCTGGATTCCTATGAATGCAAGAAATTGCACAATAAAAACTTTTGATTGGAATAACCAATCACTCGTAAAAGTAATTAACTGGTGATCAGCTTTGGAACTTGCTACTATGGTTTAATGAAGCTGGTACTTCTTGTTTAGGTTGCAAAACTTGGTTGCAAAACTCAAGTGGCTTATTAAGTTGAGCGTCTGTTTAGTCCTGGACCTACCACTCTTTCCACTCTGACAATGACTTTGGTAAACAAGTAGCAGAAATGCTTATCAAATTTGTAAATGATGCAAAAATTATATATCTCCCCCTCAAAAAAACTGAAAATCATCTAGGTAAGGTTAGATAAATGGACTAAAAAAATAATAAAATAGTATTTTCTGTAATGAAAACCAGTACAAAATTCTCAGAAATAGAAATCAAACAAACAGATATAGGATTTGGAGGGGGGTATTAAGCTTGGTAACAGTATTTGTGAAACATTTCTTGGAATAGAAGTTAATTGGAATCTGAGCCAGTTTGGTCTAGTCCAGCGGTCGCCAACTGGTGGTCCATGAGAAAATTGTGGTGGTCCGCAGAATTTTTTTTTGCATTTTTTATATTGCATTAAATCAGGGGTCCTCAAACTATAGCCCCTGGGCCAAATATATGCAATGAACACTTGTGTTGTTACAGAGACGCTTTGGGGTCTTTTTGTGCAGGTCGGAGGGGGGCAGGAATTCCGACTTGAGGTGTCCTTCAACCTCCTGGTGTGGGGCTTTGGCCAAAGGATGGAGGGAAGCACCGCTGGTGGCAAAGAGCTGGCGGGGCTTGTTCCAGTGGGACTGTATCATGGCCTGGAACTGGCTGACCATCTCAGCCCGCTGAGCCTCCGGGTGCCAGTACTTGGCCTTGCACTCCCACAGGTCTTCCCTCTGAGTGAGATGCTTCTTTTGAGCCTCCTTGGTCAGATCCAATTTGAACTGAGATAGCTATTTTGCCAACTCTTTCTTGTGGTGGCTGCTTACCTCCACAACTTCCTATTGGGGCCCTAAGGAGCCTGGGCGGGTGGGAGAGGAGTGGCTGGGAGGAAAGGGGTGAGTAGAGGCCAGTGAGGTAACATGAATGACATCAAGTTTGCCATGCCCATCCAGTCACATGACCACCTAGCCATGCCCACCCAGCCAGTCATTAGNACCACCCGGAGGAGGGCCTTCTCTGTGGCTGCTCCGGCCCTCTGGAACGAGCTCCCCGTGGAGATATGGACCCTCACCACCCGTCAGGCTTTCCACAAAGCCGTTAAAACCTGGCTGTTCCGGCAGGCCTGGGGCTGATGAGTTCCACCCCTGCTCGAATTGTGTGGCTGTTGACTGCTTTTAAATTGTCTCTGTATTTTGTTCGCTTGTCCTTTGCTTTTTGTTTGTATTATTCCCTCCCCTTGGTTTGTTAGCCGCCCTGAGTCCCTCCGGGAATAGGGTGGCATACAAGTGAAATAAACCTTGAAACCTTGAAACCTTCCTTCTGTCAGACCTGCAAGCGATCTTTTACGTTTGGGCCTTCAGGCTTGCAACATTTTCTACTATAGGAAAATGGGAGGGGGGATTATATAGACTGTGGATGATATATAGTCAAAATAACATTTTTCCAGATGTGCCAATATGGTATCTCTAATAAAATGGAACTTTGAGGAAATCCAAGCCTCAGAGTCTTCATTGGGGGTATTACTTGGAACCCTGACACCTTCCTTCCTCCCTCCCTCCCTCCCTCCCTTACTCACTCACTCACCCCCTTTCCTTCCTCTCATATAATACTGTGTTTCCCTGAAAATATGACCTACCCCAAAAACAAGCCTTAGACTGATTTTCATGCCTGTGCATAAAATAAGTCCTACCCCCAAAATAAGACCGGATTAATCCCCACCCTCCATCTGGTTGTATGAGATGGGATTGAGGCGCAGCCTTAAAAATCAAGCTATGGTGGAGGTGGGAGGAGGAGTTGCCCCATCCGCCCCACACTCACTCACTTTAGGAATGTTGCAGCCAGGCCTCCCACACCCTGACACCTATCACATTGCTGCCCAACTTCTTCTGCAGCTGCTGGCAGTCACTCAATGCAAGTGGTCACTTCTTTCTGCTTTAGCTTTGCCCTCAATTAGGAGCGGGGTGGTTCATGGCGATATCGGTGAATTCGCTTGCAAAGTATTCCCAAAGCCTCAGCAGGAGGGGAGGGTTGTTTGGGTCGTAGGCTGAGAAAGTGGGCTTAATACACAGGATATGGCTGCATGCAAGGAAAGCAGAAGTAATAGAGATCCTGGCTTGTTCCCCCAAACTCCACTAGCAATGGTCTTTGCGAGGCTCATCACACCCGTGCATCCTCTCGTAGCAGGATGCCGCAAGACTTGTTAAAATCCTATTAAATCTTAAAATTAAATCCTAAAATCCTATTAAAATATATAAAAAATTCTGAATTTTAAGTGTATGATTGGATATAGTGAATGCAGCACTGTGGGCAAAAAAGAACTACAATTTTTTGTTGTAGATTCTTGGGAAGAAGGATTTTTCATTTATATAGAACTACTTTAAACCCACTGCTCTTTCTCAATGATTTGATGAGTCAAAATGACAATTTTGGCAAAAAATGCTAATGCTTTTGGGGAATTTATTTATTTAAATTTGTTATAGCTGTGCAATTCTATTGAACTCCAATGGGATGATGGTCAGGGGGGCCCTGGGCAGGACACCCCCTCCCCCCGAACCGGTTTCCTCGCTGCCACTTGGGTGCTGCCATTTTGAATTTTAGTGACTGTATGTGTGCAGTTCACTGTAAATTGTTCCACACATGTGCGCAGAAAAATTTACATTGAACGGTGCACACATGCGCAGGGTTAGGGTTTTTCCCAATTTTTCACAAACACAGGCCCATTTGTTTTAAAAAAAACAGGGCATTCATAGGCTTTGGGAGACTTGTAGACTGCTCCTGAGGGCTGGGGCACCAAAAACAAACAAAAAACAACCCGTTCTTCCAGGTTCTTTGCCTCCTCTTCATCAGCACTCCCTGCCTAAGAAGCAGTAGAGTCCTCTGGAGCTCAGTCTGAGTCATAGTTCTCAGTTTCTCCGAAAGGAAGGGAAGAGAAAGTCACATGTGGGGGTTAAAATAACTGACAAACGCTGCAAAAAAAAACACTGGTGTATTGGGGATACAGTTAGGGAAGTAATAAACTCATTGACCTTTTAAGCATCTGTCACAGAGTTCTCCAGTTTGGTGGCTCTGCTCAAGCTCAATGAGCTTTTGCACAGGCAAAGTAAGAATGCTTTCAAAAGTCACTTCCTGCTTGCCTGGGAAGGCATTAGCTGCTTTGCAAAAGGGGAAAACCAAGCACAGATTTTAGCAATGCTCCCCTTTTGCCTCTGCAAGTTCAGCCAACTTTATTGTTTCTTGTTTTAATGTGACTTTTTTCTAAATCCCCCTGGTGGGATCTGATCCACACAA